CCCTTCCACTGCCTGGTCTGCAGCAGGACCTTCTCCGCCCTCGGCGTGTTCCTGAAGCACTGCGAGAGGCACCTGGGGCGCTCTCCCGCGCGGACCCCTGCCTCGCAGCCCGAGACGCGCGCCCGGCGGCTCCGTCCTTAACCTCCCCTGGACTCCCTCGCCGAGCGTTGGAATCCAGCTCCCGGCCCAGGGTTCGAGACGGGAAGACAGACGTGCGCGCTGCTCCATCAGCTCTGAACCCCCTGCGTCGGCGCTGGGCCTACCCCGCCCCCTGGCTGCCGGGCTGCTCTCCGCAGTCCGGGACCGAGGCGCTCCAAGCCAGACCAAAAATCCTCAAACCAGCGGGCGGGGGCGCCTGTGGCACCGATCCACCGGGCCCCCGCGGGGTGGAATGTGAAAAGGTCACGGAACGGACCGGCTGAAACCCACTACACCTGAAAAGGACTTCGCTGTGGCATTTCTTAAGCTGTTAAGGGGTCTTGATCCGGAAGCCTGTTTTAGACGTGTGCCCCGTGCGAGAGGCTTGCTCTGGGCTGCTTGGACACGCGCGTCGTCTCTGTCCGCCTCTGCTCTTGTACAGAGTTGATACAGAGCTGGACCTTGGTGGCATGCAGGCAGGGGCACAGGCAGGAGAGGGGCAAGGCACTGGATTGGCCCTGACAGGCAGGTGAATTTTTCCCAGGAGCCCTGGCGTGCAGAGAGCAGCCCAACGCCCTGGTGACGAAGCCCTTGGATAAGCGTCGGGCACGGGGCTGCTGGCTCTGCAGCCACTGCTCTGGGTGTGGGTCTTCCAGGGGCTGCCACTCCCCTCCACCAACCCTAAACCAGGTGCCAGGTCCCCTCTCCTGGGGCGCTCCAGGGCTCTGGCCCTGCACAGTGAGGGCAGTGACCGCGATATGTGTGTGTGTGTGCGGGGGGGGGGGTTCAGGGGGATGTGAGAGGGAAAGTGTGTTATCCTACCTCAGACTGTTCTTTATCTTTTCCTATTTTTTTAATAAACGTTTCGAAAAGAGAAGAGCGAGTTGCGCTGGTGTGGGAGGTGGCAGGAGTTGTTGGGCTGGCTGTGGGAGACGGGAGCTGCTTGGCCGGGGGGGGGGAGGTCCAGTGGGCACTGTGTCCTGCACCTCGGCACATCTTGAACCACCCCAGCGCTGTTTCCCTGTCCCTGTCCCCCTCCCCGCACCCTTGCAGAAGAATCCCGTGGGCGACGAACAGGGAAGAAATGCAATAATTAAAGGTGTCAGTTTTGACCTCGGGCTCAAAGACAGCTGGATCCAAGCTGCTCCCTGTAAACATGAATACAAAGGCAATGCAGCATCATATCCAGTAAACCCTGTAACAAGGCCGCGTTCACACAGAAGGGTCTGATCACATTTGCCAGAAAAATACGCTGAGAGGTGTTCTAAGCGGTTTCAAAGACCCTGAAGGATTCAAACGAGAGGAGGTCTTCAGCCCATCTTGTTTGTCAGTTAAGCTATGGAGCCCAGGATCAGCTGGATATCAGCTTCAACAACAAGACTGGGCCCTTGTGCCAGACCCCCACCCCCCTGTGTGTAAAGTAGTGTGTTGCATTCAGATCCACTCTCTGGTTGTTCCTGTTTGTGCCTCTGGCTTGTGCTGCTGGAGCTGGATAGGCAGCAGTGCAGCAGAGATGAACAGCAGACTCCCCACTAAGGCAGCTGTAAATAGCAGGAGAGCTCTGTGGAGATGCCTCTCCGTGTCCAGGGATGGCGCACGGAGCTGCAGGACCGACCAGGATCAGGAGGGGACCACCCCGCTGGACTGTGGAAGCACTAGGGAGCCTCCCAGAGTCTGGGAGCCACGTATCTAGCCTAATGCACAAGGTGAGCTGCTCTTGTCAGGGCCCTATCAACACACGGAATAACGAGACCGGGGCGAGTAAGAAGCATCTTTTTATCATCAAGAGATCATCAAAATCCAGCCACTTACATATAAAATATTCATTAAAATTGCAAAATGTGTTCCATATCCGTAGCTCTGTGCAAAGTTACGAAGCAGTAACAGAACACGTTGTTGCACAAACGTGGGCAGTTTCTCGTACCGTCGACACAAGCGAGCTTCCTGAAAGTCAGGCTCAGCTGATTTTCTCACCAGTTCTTGCCGAATTCTAACTCGGTAAAAGGCCCCCCACTTGCATCTGTAAAGCTGATTCCAAGTAAAACCGCTGGACGAGCCTCCTTCAAGACTAATGACGATGATTTACTTACTAATTCTTGCTCTTAAGTTTATTAATAATCGCGTGTGGCACAGTTGGGTGTCTCGCACGTCCATAGCTGTCCTGCTACAGTCAGGGATCTGGACTCACCTCCTGGGTGACCCCGTCCGACGACCAGAGGAGACTGGGGGTCGATGCACACGTTTGGCACAGGAAAGCAATGCTTGTTAGTGTTTCAAGAACTGCCCGGGTGTTAGAAGGGAGACAGGGAATTAGGGAGCACCGTCTACTGAATTCTCACGAGAGGCACAGGGGTTCACGCAAGTGCAATACCGCGGGCTGTACCACGTGACGGACCTTTAGTTACAGCTGATGGGCAACACTGGGCCGTGCCCTTTCACTGGACACGGCTTTAAACACCCTGCTGCCCCGGTCAGGCCAGGCCTTGCCGTGAGTCTGCCACTATCGGTGGGGAGCATGCTGGGATGAGTCCTGTAACAGGGGGGTTCTCTCCGTAGCTGAAAGGCCTTCGTCCCGGTCCAGGGCTGGGGGTGTCTTCTCCTCGGCTCGGCTCTGAAGGACCACAAAACAGCAGATTCAGATTTCCTGTGCAGCTGGCAGGCGAATCGCACCGCTGACTGACTCCACTGGCATCGTGCCCCCTGATGTGACTGGACAGCAGGGGTCCCAGACTCCTCGCCTGGGGCCCTGGTGTCTTCTGGGTTTCACCCCAAGCAGTCAATTAACCCGATTTTATTCTTGCAAAACATGCAGGTCTCTTCTGGTCAATTAACTCAAAACAATGTGATAGAAGTGAGTTTACAGTCACCTAGAAAACATCAATCCTGCAATTAATTAAATAATTACACCCCCTGTGTGGGGGTCAGTGTAGCCTGGCGGGTCAGTCTCTGGACTCGTGGCCGGCAGGTTGTGGGTTCGAGCCCCTGCTGCAGACCCTGCTGTTGTCCCTTGAGTGAGGTGACTGACCCCAGAGGCTCCAGTCCCCCAGCTGTGGGAGGGGGGACCTGTGTTCACTGGGACTGGCTCGGTGATGGCCTGCTGGACACTGTGGTCAGCAGGATGAGCTCTGGGCCACTGTGGCTGGAAGCCAGGATGACCTACCTGCCTGCCTGCTGTGTGACCGAGGGAGACGCACTGGGCTCTGAGCCCCCTGGTCTAGAGGCCACAGACCATGTGTTCATGCCTCTGCTCTAAAGCCTGCCCCCCTGGCTGGAACAGGGTCCCCCTCTGCTCAAACACTGGAGTCCTGAATCCCCCTGATACTCATTTATAGTTTTAATTCTCCACCAGAACCTCCAGCCCACATGTCCTCACTCACCCTCCAGTCAACAATGCAGTTATTCAGTCTCAGTGTACACCTGAATTAGCCCGGGAATAGAACCACACATCTCCACACACACATCATGCAAAAGCATCCACAAGCATGCACGAGCATCCACAAGTGAGCACGAGCATCCTCCAGCACACTTGTACACATGCATGATATACAAAGATGTGCCCAGCGAAGCCGAGAACTGCCACAGGACAGCACCTGATCGAGGGCCGGGCAGTGTGTGCAGTGTGGCACACCCAGCACAGGCCCAGCTCAGAAAAACCTGCAAAGACTCTGCATCATGTAGGCCTGCAGCTCAGTGGAGCTGAGTTTTAACACAGGTGAGGGGTGAAAGTTGGACATGAGGCTCAACATACAGCAGTGGTCTGAGGATACAATGTTACTGATTAACTTCAGGGGGCAGTTGGAGGTGTGGGGGTGGGACCATCGCATCCACACAATCTTCTTGAATCTAACAGCCGGAGCGATTCTGCTTTGGAAGGTCTCGTACCAAAGTCTGTTCAATCGCCAAGTTCAATGACACAGGTCAGGAAGTGCATTGATATTTCAAAAGCATCTGGCTGCTTAAAAGCATAGACTCAGACATAAAAATTAATTGTAGAATTAAACTAATGAAATACAAATTCTGCATACATTTAAATGATCTGACACAAAAATTAACGCTTTCATCAACAGTGCATGTGTCCTTTTTCACAACTGGTAACACTTTACAAGTACTTTTCTGAGTATAATATGGGTTTGAGAAACTACATTTAAGAGTTACTTTTATTTTAAATTTTACTGTGCACAGTGAGGTCAAGGTCATAGTAGTGGAACAGGACCTCCTGTAACTCCTTTTTAACTTTTAAACATTACGTTTTAAAATCTAAACCAGGCCGTAAAGGGGAATTTGTTCTGAATTTGACTCATCTGGAGAATAAAACTTCATGATGACGGCGACAGTGATAATTATTACTCCAGCTCCAGCCCAGCAGGTGGCGCTGCGTCTCCTCAGCCTTCTACTTCACAATCTACATAGCCCCCCGCATGGCCACCCCAGACCCTCATCTTTTTCCAAAGAGATGTAAAGTGCTACCAGAAATTAAATTAAATGAACGGAATTAACTTGAATTACCATTGCTTTTGCTGGAATTGGGGTGGGTAATGTATATTTTATGTAGATTTTTCACATTCAATTGCAGGCAATTAAAAACCACGTAAAAGAAAAAATAAATTGTTCTCAAACCTGTCACCCACCTAGAAATGGGCTTCTTGTATGACTTTGCTGCTCTTGTTCGTCCCGATAAATTTCTCGGACTGCATCTCATTATGACTCGAGCTGTTTACTGAGCTATTAACCTGGTTGTCCTAAAAGATAATCAGTCTCGTTTAATAGGGTTAGGTACGGGGTTAGATGACATTAATTATAGTAGGGTTTGATTGTTTTCAATTACAGCCGCGGTTATTATTTCTGTTTGCGTACAAGATCATTAGTTTGCATTTCTTTTTTATTTTAATCGGGTTTAGTTTCATTTGGTTTCCATGCAATGGTCATAAAATGTCATTTTTCCAATACCTGGAATGTCTGGAATACATACCGAGTAGGACTGCTAGTGGAGACGGCTGGGGATTTGTTTTAGATGATCGATTTTAAGGTTGAATGTTATTTAATTACAACATGCACGTTGATTAGAGATCATATCCAGTAATGGTTGCTTTGTTTCATTTTAGCGGGTTTGTTTATTTTTCAGGAAGGGGTTCGGAGGCGTTGTTAAGACAAGACACTGTCAACACATTGTGAGAAAAATCAAAACCAAGGATCGGTTATTGGATTTTTGGACTGTCGGAGCGGTTCTGAGCTAGCCGAATTCTTCAGACCACAGGCAGACTGATTAGGGCCTCAAGAACAGAATCTTTGGCCCAGTCACAAATTCCAGCCCAGGTACTGGTCTGGTTGCCTGAAGGAACATTCTCTCTTCCCAGTGGAAAGCAGACATCAATCACTGGGTCTGAAGTCTGCAAGTAACAGGCAGGTGAGAATCGGACTGAATTTTGGCCTAAATCAATAAGCGACAAATATTCCCAATAAAACCACAATTTCCCCACTTCAATTTGATTTTACATCAACATCTTGTAAAAACAGAAACCCAATTATTCTCGACCTGCTTTGCGTTTTAATCACTACACTTGGGTATCGGCAACAATCTAAAAAATCCAACAACTTGTGATTGAGAACGATCACTTAAAAAAATGACAAATATTCACGTGAGATTTTCTCAGCACAACAGTCATCGGAGTTAATAAGAATTGTGGTCAGTTTCATCTGGTTAAAATGCTTCACTTTCAATGAAAGGAAGGGTGATGATCTTTTATGACAGCACGTCACATATTTCTAGGTATGAGTTCTGCATGAGCATTTGGGTCCGAAGATGCAGCAGAGCCCTGTCAGTCTTTCCTGTTTTAGCGAATGACATGTTCCAGGTTCAGGCAGGTGGGGTCTGTGCTGGGATCAGGAGCCAGGGGTGCTAAGCTGCACCCGTGGGATCACGACTGAACGCCTCAAAGTCAGAGCGCCCACCCTCTGAAAGGTGTGTGTGTGTGGTGTGTGTGGTGTGTTCCTGAGAAACGCCACCAAAGACATCTCATTAGCTTGATGCCCTAATTAAGGTCAGGGAAAGTGATTGAAGGTCGTCAGGAAGGGAGGGAAAAGGCTGGGAGAGGAAGGGACTGATGTCAGAGCAGTGGGGGGGGGGGGGGGGGGGGAGAGACAGAGGCATTGTTATTCAGTGCGCAGTTTCGCGCACGACTGCGAACTCTGCAGGACAAGAGATTTAACTTGTGCAAAAGCTGCAGGACAGAATAAACGCAGAGCTGCAGGAGGGAGCAGGCAGGCGGAGTCTCACAGGAACGTACATACAGCCATGTAAAAGAAGAGCAGGATTGTTTGGGGGTTTTTCTGCAGGTTCAAAACGCAAGCCACAGTTCAAAAACAAAACTCGCATGAGGAAGTGAGGAGCGACTGCGGCCTGGGCAGTGCCCAGACAGGGGCCCTGGCTTTGGTCTGGCTGTCTGCCCGCGCCAGCCCGCAGACTGGGCGCATGCAGGGCTGTCCTACCTGCTCCGAGAGCGCCAGGCCGATGGAGACCGCGATCAGGGCGAGGCCCAGCGCGATGAAGATGTACTGCAGGTACTCCATGATGGCGGGCAGGAGCACGAGGTTGTTGTAGAAGGTGGTCAGGACCGATCCCTCAATGAAGCCACTCTGTGGAGGAGGAGGAGAAGGTCATCGGACATCCGGTCACACACGGGCCAAATCAGTCTGTTGACCTCTCTCCCCGTCTCCCAGATCCCGAGGACTTCAATTAACCAATTAGACTTAATCAGTCAGAATTCCTGGTGTTTCCAGGTCTTTATGGAATAATACCCAAAATGATATTGTAAAGTACAGCACTTCAGGTAGGGATCGGGATTGAGGATTGAGGGATCAGGTAGAAAACGGACATCTGATCCAATTTCAGTCAGCTGACACTGAGAGGCTGAAACAAAGAAAAGAGCTTAAACTGACCTTAAACAGCCAGCCCTAAAAAACAAGAACTAGTTACCTCTGCAAACCACAGCATCGGAATGACCACCGGAGAGATTTTACCCGTCTCTCTGTAAAAACAGAAAGGAGAATTCAGCCAGCTGGACCACACAAACTCTCCAGTTCCAGGTTCTCCAAATTCCCGAACTCGGCAACCGCAGGGCTGTGCTGCTGGAATCGGGGGACTGAGAGGACCCCAGTAACACTGGGGTTGCCGAGTCACAGGAGGGCGATTGAGGATCACTGAGCCACCGAGAGTCATGTGGCCCAAACCTGCCCCCGTCAACCCCAGCCTTTCTGATGCAGTAACGACTGTAAGAGTAAGACACAAAGGTCACAGTCAAGGAGAGGCTGCCTGGTTATTGGTAGCTAATGGTCAGGAATCAGCCTCAGCAAAGCAGCTGGATGGTTTGCACTGGTGTCCTCGGTCCTCAGTGAACTCACCTCCCCGCAGCGCAGACAGAAATGTCTCAGACTGAAGCTAAACGACGACAGGGGGACTGTCAGATGCTTGAGCGTGTAACTTCACCAATGGGCTTCAGAGCCTTGTGCCATCCCCAGCCCAGCCACCAGCAGCACTGAGCTATCGTATTGCTGAAGTCAGTGGGTTCACATGGCTGGCCGAGCAAGAGAGACAAAAGCCAATCCACCTGCCACGTGGCGAGAAAGATTTGGGTAAAACATGCACGACTCCTGCAGAGCTCGGCATTCTGGAAACAAGTGTGAGAAAGCTGCCAGGCCGCGGCTGTACGCAGTAGTGTGTAGCAGCGCTGGATCTTCAGCACTGTGCAAAGCCAGACACGCCTGTCTGATGCAGACAGGCAGTGCGAAACAGGATTACAGGGCGGGGTTCTGGCTAGACAGCCATTCAGAGGAACACCGCCCAGGACTCCCAGCACCGCAGAGATACTCACAAACCAGCAGGACTAAAGCCCTACAAACTAAGAAACAAAAGGCGGACAGTTTGCACAGTTTGGATGATCCAAGCCCCTCTGCTCGTGTCTCCAGGCTGAGATCGAAGCGCCGCAGCAGAGCAGGAGCTGGGCGGGCTGGACTCACGTGATGCCCGACACGCTCTTAATGAACAGGTTCAGCTGCAGCTTGATGGACACGTTCACAGGGACGCCCGTCTCCTGCAGGTCCAAAACACAAGGACAGAGACAGTGGAAATTAGACTCCCGATGCACAGCAGTGTGATCCACGCCAGGCTTGACGATATGGTCAGTCTGACTCCCAATGCACAGCTCCAATGGGATTCATTCATTCTTTCATGACATCCACAACCTGTTTAATAGATAGATCAAGCTTGTTGCCTTATTATGAGTTCATTTGAACTAACAAACATGAGCCCAGAAACTACTTAAAGCATGATTTTCTGTTTCACCAGCTCTCAGGTCTGCTCCTGCCGTGGATCAAATGGTTGTGCTCCTGGACGAGGAAGGGGATTAGGGAAGGCCCAGACAAGCTGAGGCTGAAAGCTCCTGACCTGGATTGAGCCAGGATGCTGGGGTACACACACCGGCACGAATACCAAAGCCATTAACGAAATCTTGAATTCATTCTCTCCTGCATGAGAGTAAATCTCAGAGCACACACACCAATTAAACAAGACAAGCACAGCCCCTTGCATTAGCACCTGACCAAACTTACAACATGTCCTCACGTGTGGAAAACATGAAGCCTTAATTTATTTTATTGCACAATTATCTCTGACATTGCAGATACACATCAGCTTTCAGCTGAATGCCAATTACTCAAAGGGTAATTTCTAATTACCTTATCAGAGATCATTGCTGTTTTACTGTCGGTCATAAAAAAATATAAACTCAAGAAACCCCCTCAAACACACTGCTTGAAATCAATATCTCTCTCACTTGTGAGAAGAGCAGGGTTTGAAAACAATAATTCAATTAGATAACAGCATTAGTGATAATAATGCTAATTATGTTATGAAACATCGACTCAGGTGTTTGTGACAGGCCCTGCACACTGCACAAGGCTCTGCTATACCAGCTACTGCTGTGTTAGTTTGCTGTTTGTTGTGATGTGACAAATGTACAGGACCCAGAGAGTTAACATGCACT